TCCTCCTCCCTGAGTGCTGGGCGCATCCCAGTGGGTCCACTCTCCCTCCGCTGCTGCCTGCGGTCACTGCCTCTGGACTGTGGCACGAGGCGGAGGGGGCTGCCCAGCCGCAAGCCTTCCTTGGGGGGCCAGGCTGCTCTGGGGGTGTCTGTGGGGCCCTCTCCTTCCTTCCTCCCTCTCTTTCTGCACTTTTGCACTGATCCGGGGCAGCGGAGGACGGCCGCTTGACCCCCGCCTCTTCCCGGTCCCTGAGGGACCCTCCTCGGCCTTATTCTCAGTCCGTCCGAAGAGGAAGGACGCCGACTCACCAATGATGACGACGACGACGATAATGGAGACGAAGATGACGAATTGGAAGCCGCTCCTGGCTTTTGGGGGCCAGGCTCACTCTGCTCCCTCGAGCCCTGATTAAAAGTTATTTTTCCTAAAAGGAGCTGACCCCCTGGGCCTTCTTTTCCCCAAACTCTACCAGTGTTCACATTTGGGGTGAACTACAACTCCCAAATGTCAAGCTCTATTTTCCCCAAACTCTACCAGTGTTCACATTTAGGGTGAACTGTTGTTGTTGTTCATTCGTTCAGTCGTCTCCACCTCTTCGTGACCTCATGGACCAGCCCACGCCAGAGCTCCGTCGGCCGTCACCACCCACAGCTCCTTCAAGGTCATTGGGGTGAACTATAACTCCCAAATCCCAAGGTCTATTTCACCCAAACTCCACCAGTATTTACATTTGGCCATATTAAGTATTCGTGCCATGTTTGGTCCAGATCCATCATTGTTGGAGTCCACAGTGCTCTGGATGTAGGTGAACTACAACTCCAAAACTCAAGGCCAATGCCCACCAAACCCTTCCAGTGTCTGTTGGTCATGCGGGTCCTGTGTACCACGTTTGGTCCAATTCCATCATTGGTGGAGTTCAGAATGCTCTTTGATTGTTGGTGAACTATAAATCCCAGCAACAACAACTCCCAAATGTCAAGGTGTATTTTTCTCAAACTCCACCAGTTTCCACATTTGGCCATATTGAGTATTCATGACAAGATTGGTCCAGATCTATCACTGTTTGCATGCACAGTTGTCTCTGGACGTAGGTGAACTACACTCCCAAACTCAAGGTCAGTGCCCACCAAACCCTTCCAGTATTTTCTCTTGGTTGTGAGAGTTCTGTGTGCCAAGTTTGGTGGAGTTCGGAATGCTCTCTGATTATAGGTGAACTATAAATCCCAGCAGCTACAACTCCTAAATGACAAAAACACTCCCCCAATCCAACTCAACCAGTAATCAGATTTGGGCGTATGGGGTATTTGTGCCAAATGTGGCCCAGTGAATGAGAATACATCCTGTAGATCAGATACTGACATCATGATTCGTAACAGTAGCAAAACCACAGTTAGGAAGTAGCAATGAAAATAATGTTCTGTTTGGAGGCCACCACCACAGGAGGAACTGCATTAATCATTGGTTCTTATGGGAACCAATGATTATGGGACTTGGTAGTGGAGATTTCCTAATCTGGGAAGGCGCATCGGAAAAGCCAGGTTTTTAAGTTCTTTCTGAAGATAGCCAATGAAGGGGCCTGTCTAAGGTCTTTGGGGAGGGTGTTCCAGAGTCGGGGGGCCACTACGGAAAAGGCCCTGTCCCGCGTCCCCACCAAGCGCGCTTGCGACGCCGGTGGGATCACGAGCAGGGCCTCTCCAGATGACCGAAGAGAACGTGTGGGTTCGTAGATGGAAATGCGGTCACGCAGGTAGGCTGGTCCCAAACCGTTCAGGGCTTTGTAGGTAAGCACCTGCACCTTAAATTGGGCTTGGGAAATAAACGGCAGCCAGTGGAGCTCCTTGAACAGGAGGGTTGACCTCTCTCTGTAAGGGCCCCCAGTTAGCATCCTGGCTGCTGACCGTTGGACCAGTTGGAATTTCCGAGCCGTTTTCAAGGGCAGCCCCACGTAGAGCGCATTGCAGTAATCCAATCTAGAGGTGACCAAGGCATGGACCACCCCGGCCAGATCAGCCTTCGCGAGGTACGGTCGCAGCTGGCGCACAAGTCTCAATTGTGCAAAGGCCCTCCCGGACACTGCCAACACCTGAGCTTCAAGTGTGAGCGATGAATCCAGGAGGACTCCCAGACTGAGGACCTGTGGCTTCAGGGGGAGTGTAACCCCGTCCAACACAGGTTGCCACCCTATACCCCAGTCAGGTTTGCGATCGACCAGGAGGACCTCTGTCTTGTCGGGATTGATCTTCAGCTTGTTCGTCCTCATCCAGATAGACACAGCGGCCAGGCACTCGTCCAGCACCCGAGAGGCCTCCTTGGAGTTAGGTGGAAAGAGTAGTAGAGTTGTGTGTCATCTGCATAGAGGTGGCACCTAACTCCAAAACTCCGGATGACCTCTCCCAGGAGTTTCATGTAGATGTTAAAAAGCATGGGAAACAGAATGGAGCCTTGCGGGACCCCACAGGTCAAAGGCCAGGGGTCCGAGCAGGCGTCTCCCAGCTTCACCAACTGGGATCGACCCTCCAGGAAGGATCGGAGCCACGACAAGACCGTGGCCCCGAGACCCATCCCAGAGAGGCAACCCAGAAGGAGACCATAGTCGATGGTATCGAAAGCCGCTGAGATGTCCAAGAGAACCAACAGAGTCACACTCCCCCTGTCCAGCTCTCTGCGGAGCTGGACAGGGGAGCTGGACATATGGAGTTTTCGTGCCAAGTTTGGTCCAGATCCATCATTGCGTGAATCCACAGCACTCCTCTGGATATAGGTGAACTACAACTCCCAATCTCAAGGTCAATGCCCACCAAACCCAGTTTAGAGCTACTGTTACAGATCATCATGTTTACTGTTGGTCGTGGGAGCTCTGTGTGCCAAGTTTGGTTCGAATCCATTGCTGGTGGAGTTCAGAATGCTCTTTGATTATAAGTGAAGTATAAATCCCAGCAACTACAACTCCCAAATTACAAACTCAGTCCTCCCCCAACCCCACTATCATCCACATTTGGGTGTATTTGGTATGTTTGCCCAATTTGGTCCAGTGAATGAAAATACATCCTGCATATCGGATATTTACAACTTAATAACAGTAGTAAAATGACAGATATCAAGTATCAATGAAATCCATATTATGGTTGGGGGTCACCATAACATGAGTAATTATATTAAGGGGTCATGGCATTAGGAAGGTTGAGAACCACTGCATTAAGGGGTCGTGGTGTTAGGAAGGTGGAGAACCCCTGACCCAGAGAGAGGGAGTCAGCCTCGAAAGGCCAAAGAGTGAGAACTGGCCCACCCTGCCCCTCTTGGCTCCCCTTCTTCCCACGGCAATGGACGGAGACAGGAGAGAAGGTGCTTCCTCCAAACCCAGAAAGAGTGGCACTTTTGGAGGGCAAGGAGGCCTTTTGGCCACGGCTCTTACTGCTGTTTTGGGGCTTCCTCCTCTTCGTTTTGCAGCTTGTTGGGGGTTTCCGGGCCCACTTCCCCAAAACTGCTCTGAAATCCCCTTCCGCGTAAGAGAGAGCCTGGCTCTGCCACTTTGGGGGCCTTCCCTTTCACTTCTGCTTCCTTGCAGAGCACCCGCCTCACGCCGACACCCAGGAAAGGAAAGAGGAGACCCCAAAGGCATTCTGGGCTGCTTCCTCTTTCGCAGGGAAAGCAGTGCCGCATTCACATATCTGTGGAATAAGCTTCAGGGTGGGAGAAAGAACTCTTGTCTGTTGGAGAGAGGTGTAAACATATCCATTGGCCACCTTGATTTGCATTTAATAGCCTTGCAGATTCAAGGTCTGGCTGCTTCCTGCCAGGGGGAATCCTTTGTTGGGAGGTGATTAGCTGGCCCTGATTCTTTCTTGTCTGGAATTCCCCTGCTTTTGAGTGTTGTTCCTTATTTACTGACCTGATTTTAGAGCTTTTTAAAATACTGGGAGCCGAATTGTGTTCGTTTTCATGGTTTCCTCCTTTCTGTTGAAATTGTCCACATGCTTCTTGTGGATTTCAATGGCTTCTCTGGCTACCGGTATTTTAATGGCCTTGCAGTTTCAAGGCCTGGCTGCTTCCTGCCAGGGGGAATCCTTTGTTGGGAGGTGATTAGCTGGCCCTGATTTTTTCTTGTCTGGAGTTCCCTGGCTTTTAGAGTGTTGTTCCTTATTTACTGTCCTGATTTTAGAGCTTCTTTTCCTCTCTGATTCTCCTTCGGGGCGGCATGTAAATGCCATAAATAAATAAATTCTTTTAAATGCTGGTAGCCAGATTGTGTTCATTTTCATGGTTTCCTCCTTTCTATTGAAATTGTCCACATGCGCCTTGTGGATTTCAATGGCTTCCTTGGCTACCGGTATTAAAAAAGCCTCTAAAATCATAACAGTAAATAAAGAGCAAGAGTTCAAAGAGGCAGGACAATCCAAGACAAGAAACAACCAGGGCCAGCTAATCACCTCCCAACAAAAGATTCCCCTGGGCAGTAAGAAGCCAGACCTTGAAACTGCTAGGCCATTATAAAAATCGTGTCAGGAGTGACTTTGCTTCTGGTGTGAGAAAATTGGCCATCTGCAAGGACGTTGCCCGGATGTTTTGATGTTTTACCATCCTTGTGGGAGGGAGGCTTCTCTCATGTCCCTGCATGGGGAGCTGGAGCTGACATAAGGAGCTCATCCACGCTCTCCCCGGATTTGAACCTCCGCCGTTGGTCTTCAGTTCTGCCAGCACAGGGGTTTAACCCACTGCACCATCGGGAACTCCTAAATTGATTTAGTTGATTAAATGCTAATCAAGGCAATTAATAGCAACATTCACATTTGCCTTGAGAGTTCTTTCTCCCGCCCTGGACACCATTCCATAAGGATATAAACCCAATTTTCCTAGTTTCCAACAGATCTCCCAAGCTCTGAGGATGCCTGCCATAGATGCAGGTGAAACATCAGGAGAGAGTGCTTCTGGAACATGGCCAGGCAGCCTGGAACACCCATAGCAACCCAGTGATTCTGGCTATGAAAGCCTTCGACAACACATCAAATCTAAACTTCTTTATTGGTTTTGGTCCGAGGCAGGGCTGCGGGCATTGCCGTGCCGTCCTTGCCGTGCCTGCTTTTGGTCCCGAATCGAGTGAGGAGGGGTCCCTGGGTGGGTTCGGTCCTTTGAGCTGAGGAAGTGCTGGTGAAAAGAAGGAAGGAAGGGAGGAAGAGAGGAAGGAAGTGTGGCCGAGGCTGCCCTTAAGCGGCCATGGAGGCGGGCGTCCGGTACTTCTCAATGACCTCTCGCAGCCCTTTGGAGAAATGGAGGTCGGCGCCGATGGTGAGGTAGCCCTGCAAGAGGAGGAGGAGGAGGAGGAGAGGGTCAGGGAGGCGGACGGAGCCCCTTTGTACCCACATTTGCACCCCCAAAAGACCCCACACGTGACCCCCTCCCTCACCATGTGGTTGGTGACCACTTCCTTCATGAAGTCCATCCCTTCCGGAAGCGGGATCTGGACGCCCTTCTTGGTTTTCTCTGCAAGGAAAGCAACGGAGGAGAGCAGAGTCAGGGCTGCGAAGGGGATCCTGGGACATGGGATGGAGCCACACAACTGGCACGTGGAGAAAACGTGGAGACGGTGACAGGGTTTGTATTTCTAGGCACAAAGATGAGCGTGGCCAGGAAATCAGGAGATGTTTCCTTCTTGGAAGGAGAGCAAGGACCCATCTCCATAACATAGTGAAGAGTAGATGCATCACACTGGCAACCAAGGTCCACATAGTTGTCGTTTATTCATTCAGTCGTTTCCAACTCTGTGTCTTCCTGGACCAGACCAGACCAGAGCTCCCTGTCAGCCGTGGCTGCCCCCAGATCCCTCAAGGTCAAGCTAGTCACTTCCCTGTAGTAACCTATGGATGTGAGAGCTGGACCACAAGGAAGGCTGAGCAAAGGAAGAGAGATGCTTCTGAACTGTGGTGTTGGAGGAAAGTTCTGAGAGTGCCTTGGACTGCCAGAAGATCCAACCAGCCCATTCTCCAGGAAATAAAGCCCGGCTGCTCATTGGAGGGAAGGATAGTAGAGGTCAAGATGAAGTCCTTTGGCCACATCATGAGGAGACAGGAGGCCTTGCAGAAGACAATGATGCTGGGGAAAATGGAAGGAAAAAGGAAGAGGGGCCGACCAAGGGCAAGGTGGATGGATGGTATTCTTGAAGTGACTGGCTTGACCTTGAAGGAGCTGGGGGTGGTGACGGCCGACAGGGCGCTCTGGCATGGGCTGGTCCATGAGGTCACGAGAGAAGACATTGATGCTTGGGAAAATGGAAGGAAAAAGGAAGAGGGGCCAACCAAGGGCAAGATGGAGGGAGGGTATCCTTGAAGTGACTGTTGAAGGAGCTGGGGGTGGTGACAGCCGACAGGGAGCTGTGGCGTGGGAGGAATGAGGTCACATAGAGAAGACAATGATGCTGGGGAAAATGGAAGGAAAAAGGAAGAGGGGCCAACCAAGGTCAAGATGGAGGGAGGGTATCCTTGAAGTGACTGTGTTGAAGGAGCTGGGGGTGGTGACAGCCGACAGGGAGCTGTGGCGTGGGCTGGTCTATGAGGTCACCTAGAGAAGACAATGATGCTTGGGAAAATGGAAGGAAAAAGGAAGAGGGGCTGACCAAGGGCAAGATGGAGGGAGGGTATCCTTGAAGTGACTGGCTTGACCTTGAAGGAGCTGGGGGTGCTGATACCCGAGAGGGAGCTCTGGCCTGGGCTGGTCCATGAGGTCACCTAGAGAAGACAATGATGCTGGGGAAAATGGAAGGAAAAAGGAAGAGGGGCCGACCAAGGGCAAGATGGATGGATGGCATCCTTGAAGTGACTGGCTTGACCTTGAAGGAGCTGGGGGTGGTGACGGCTGACAGGAAGCTCTGGCCTGGGATGGTCCATGAGGTCAGCTAGAGAAGTCAATTATGCTGGGGAAAATGGAAGGAAAAAGGAAGACGGGCCAACCAAGGGCAAGGTGGATGGATGGTATCCTTGAAGTGACTGGCTTGACCTTGAAGGAGATGGGGGTGGTGACGGCCGACAGGGAGCTCTGGCCTGGGCTGGTCCAGGAGGTCACTAAGAGTTGGAAATGACTGGATTTTTTTCTATGTCAGGAGTGACTGAATGAATAAACAACAAACCTAGAATTGGAAAACGGAAGAGGGACCAACCAAGGGCAAGATGGAGGGAGGGTATCCTTGAAATGACTGGCTTGACCTTGAAGGAGCTGGGGGTGGTGACGGCCAACGGGGAGCTCTGGTCTGGGCTGGTCCAGGAGGTCACCAAGAGTAGGAAATGACAGGATTTTTTTTCCGTGTCAAGAGTGACTGAATGAATAAACAACAAACCTAGAATTGGAAGGGACTGCACCCCACACTCGGCTCATGTTCAGTTTGTGGTCCATGAAGGCTCCGAGATCCCTTTTGCAGGGCCTGTTTCCAAGCCAGGTGTCCCCATCCTATACCTGTGCATTTCCTTTCTCCTGCTGAAGGGCAGCACAAGACCTTTCTCCTTGCTGGAATCCCTTCAGCTCTCCCACCTGTTTGGGTCCTTTGGGATCTTGACCCTGTCTTTCCCCCAAAATCCTAAGACCAAGGAGCATCCAAGGGAAGGTCAGTGGGTTGGATCTAGAACGTGCATGGGCAAACTTTGGCCCTCCAGGTGTTTTGGACTTCAACTCCCACCATTCCTAACAGCCTCAGGTCCTTTCCTTTCCCCCTCAGCCGCTTGAGAGGATGAAAGGGGAAAGGAAGGGGCCTGAGGCTGTTAGGAATGGTGGGAGTTGAAGTCCAAAACACCTGGAGGGCTGCAGGTGGTACCTGGTTTGGAAAGCCCTAGCAGTCTATTGGATCTTGGGAGTTGTGGGGGTTGACATCCAAAACACCCGGAGGGACAAAGTTTCTCCATGCCTGATCTAGAACCTCTTAAGGGGCAATGGGTGAGTGGAGGGGTCTTTCCCGGCCCCCCCGATGCCTACCATTGATGAGGGGCATGATGGCCAACTGCAGCAGCGTCTTCAGGGGTCCCTGCAGCGGGATGAGCTGGAGGCACAAGGAGGAAAAGGGGTCAATTGAGACCTCAAAGTGTTGTGGAACATACGTTACCCGAGATCATTTAGAGCACAATCAGAAAGGAAGGAAACGGAGACAGCAGTTGATTTCAGGCATTTACTATCAAGCTCGATAGGGCGTTCAGAAAGCAATATCTGACACACACTGGAAGTCAGACTTGCTTCAATATTTATAGCAGAAAACCACTGGTTCATATATGCGCAGAAATGTCTTGACATTTACACAGTACAATCATTAACAGGTGTCCTTCATGTATAGTTGCCAAGAACATTCCCTTGGCAAGGTCATGATGACAAACATTTGCCCACTTTTATAATTATTAACTTTCTACCCCTTATTTCCAGATGACATGTTCAATTGGTACTTAACTTCCTTGATCTCTTAATGATTTATAGTTTTATATATTTATAACATAAAATTTTATTAAAGCAATCTCCTTTTAGTTAGATTCAGCCTCAATTATTTAGTTGTTAATATGAAAACCAAGAGAATTTGTTTAAAATAAAAATATCTAAAATTGCCTGCTATTTACATTAAATAGACAGGAGATGGTGCTCTCTTACTATATGGCCTTAGATGTTCCAGTCTTGGATCAATGGATATCGATTTACCTTAAGCGCCAGGTCTCTATGTTTAGCCTAAAGTCAACCTTCAAATATTTGTTTATGGAACATGCCACCCCGACCTCTTGATTCATACCATCTGCTGATTTTCCCTCACTCTGAAAATCTCCTTTTCAAACGTCAGCACTAAGGTAAGACTTGTTCAATTTAAATTCATTTAAATTATAATTATTTTATTTTTCTCCTAATGGCTGCCACAGAAGCAGTCCCCAACTCAAATAGAAGGAGATTTGCTAACCAAGGGGCCCCTGGCTCTGCCCTCTAAGCCCCTTTGAAGAGGCCCCTCATCCCTGGCCTTCCTTCACCACCTGCCACTTCTGACCACTTGCACTTACCGCCAAGGATTCGAGGGCCGACTGGTTGGAGTAGATCCGGAACCTGCGCAAAGCAAAGAGAGCGGGAACTGAGTGCGGCAGGTGGAGGGATTGCAGCCGAGAACCCTTCTCTACCCCATTTCCAGACATCACATGTAGGTATCAAAGCCACACATACCTTCTGAGGTCCAGCTGGACTTGGAGGGCCTTCTGGCGCAAGGCCACCTTGGCACTCATCCGGGCTTCCTGCCGGGAGAGAAGGGCCAAACACATGCAAGCCTAAGGTTAGGTTCCGGTCCAGTGTATCTGTCCGAACGTATCTCCCTCTACGTCCCACCCCGGAATTTGAGATCATCTGGGGGGGCCCTGCTCTTGACCCCACCACTATCACAAGTGAGGTTGGTGGGGACGAGGAGCAGGGCCTTCTCAGTGGTGGCCCCTCACCTGTGGAACTCACTCCCGGGGGAAATTAGGGCATCAACATCCCTCCTCTCCTTCAGGAGGAAGGTAAAGACGTGGTTATGGGACCAGGCCTTTGGGCAAGCTGACTCCTAGATAAGGGTAACCAGACGAATGGGACTAACAGGACTGACAACTGTGGAATTGGAAATTGAACTATGAGCTAGCGAACGTTGACCATCAATGAGGAGAAACTGGTTTGTATTGGTTTTATGTTAGTAATGTAAGAAATGTTGTTTAATTGTTAATTGATGTTGTTTTGTTTTACTATTGTTTGTGATACGGGCATCGAATTGTGCCTTGTTTTTGTAAGCCGCCCTGCGTCCCCTTCGGGGTGAGAAGGGCGGGGTAAAAGAACCCCAAATAAATAAATAATAAATATGGGAACCAGTCAGACAACCACCATGTCAGACTACACAGAGAAGCCATTGAAATCCACAAGCATGTGGACAATTTCAACAGAAAGGAGGAGACCATGAAAATGAACAAAATCTGGCTACCAGTATTAAAAAAAAACTCTAAAATTACAACAGCAAAACAGCAGAGAGGAAACAACCAGGCACATCTTAACACCTCTCAACAGAACATTTTCCCAGGCTCAGCCAGGCCTTCAAATGCTAATGAAGGTGGTCAGTTGAAACATTCACACCTAGCTTCAGCAGAGAGCTCCTTGCCATTCCACAGATATATAACCCCATTTTCCTATTTCCAACAGACCTCACTACCTCTGAGGATGCTTGCCATAGATGCAGGCGAAATGTCAGGAGAAATGCTCTAGAACATGGCCCTATAGCCCGAAAAAACCTACAAGAACCTAGTTTGGAGGAAAGTCCAGGGTGGATTCATAACGCAGGATCAGTCATCCACGGATGCAGTGCAACCCATATTTGCCCCCATCCCCGCTGCAACCCTCCTTGGCGATGCCACTGGACAAGGCACCAGGTGCCCCGCCCCCCAGCCTTTGCACATTGACTTGCAGGTTGAAGCACCCTGTTATGGCCTGCGCTTTGGTCCAGACCCCCGCCTCACCATGGTCATGCTGGAGAGCTGGACGAGGGGCTGTTCTGGCGGGGCCAGGAAGATGTCGAAGAGGGCCGTGACGGAGACGGACATCCCGGAGACCTGGATGCTGCACCGAGGGGCCGAGGAGGCCTGCAGCCGCAGCAGTAGCGGGGCGTCCATCACCTCCGGGTTCTGCGACAAAGACGGGAAGAGTCCCCGTTAGCCCTCGCACGAGGAGGAGGAAGGAGAGAGGTGTTACAGTAAGTTGTAGCAGGATCAAGTGTGTGTGTGTTAAAGAAAAACCTTATGATGTTATTTATTTTGTGCAGCTGGTAATGTAGGTCAGCCAGCATGATTGGGCCACACGTGATGGGGTGTAACTGTATGGATTTTAGAATACAGTTTGGAGCCGTTTGGAGAAGCACAACTGAAGAACTCACTGTAGGGCCAGCATTCCATTCAAGGCGGATGTAGGGTGTGAACCACCTGCTAGCAAATAGAAGAAACATTCTGAAGAAGGGGAAGTCCCCCGAAACAAGGCAAACTCCACCCGGGGATCCTTGTCATTTGTTTACGTTCTCAAGGACTACAAGTATTGTCAATCCATTTATGGTCTTTAGGACTACTCATATCATCATTTGGAGTATATTCTGCATTAGAGACCATATGGACAAGATTTTAGTTCACTGACTGTCTCAAGGACTATACATAATTTGTTTACGTTCTCATGGACTACAAGTATTTTCAGTTTATTTACGGTCTCAAGGACTACTAATATCAGCATTCGGAATATATTTTGTATTAGAAACCTTTGGGATTAAGTTCACTAACTGTCTCAAGGACTAATATACAAGCTAGGAACGTTCTACCTCTATTTTGTTTTGTGATTCACAAGCTATGTTTGTTTGAATACACGTTGCAACTTCTATTGTGGAATAGCTATTTACTCAAGGTTTATGTTTTGCTCCCTCATTTGAATGAAGATGAGGAAGCCTCATTCTGTGTTACTTACAAGAACTATGCAAGTTTGTCGCATTGTTTGATTTTGTATGTGTAATAATAATAATAATAATAATAATAATACAGGGTTAGTCAAAATGAATAGGCCAATAAGAAAATTAATTTTAGACGAATGTATGTTTATTGTAACCAAACTACAGCTACATAGCGACAGATAAACTATCAAAGTTTTGTCTCACCTTCAGAGATGTTCGATATGGGCGCCCCGTGTGACACGGCAGATGTCCAAGCGATAGTCCAGTTCATTCCACATCCGTTGCAGCACATCCGACGTAATGGCATCGAATGCAGCAACGTCTGGGAAGGTGTTCGTTGAGGTCCTAACCCTAACCCTAAACCCTAACCCTAACCCTAACCCTTGAAATTCTCGCTGGACCGTAATTACTGACATTGTTTTAGCAAATGTCATCACACAAAACGCCTTCTCTTTGCTTGATTCCGCCATTTTGAAAACAGCGACCCCTAGCGACGCCTAGCGGCATTAACGTACATGTGTGTTGCTCAAAAAAAACTTTGATAGTTTATCTGTCGCTACGTAGCTGTGGTTTGGTTACAGTAAACATACATTCGTCTAAAATTAATTTTCTTATTGGCCTATTCATTTTGACTAACCCTGTACTTTATTTGTACCCCGCTACCATCTCCCCAAGGGACTCAGTGCGGCTTACATGGGGCCGAGCCCAAATACAACAATGCAAGCAATAACAACAATAAGACTCAGCCTGTGTTTGACCCTGAATCTGTCATAGTGTTTTCCCCCTCCTAATGTTTCTGAGCCTGACTTGGACGTCAATGAGGATGAGGGGCAAAATGGAGACACTTTGGACTTATTAGGTGACTACAGACTCTGGTCGAGAAGGGTCAGGGGAAAGGCTAAGTTCTCTAGAACATGGCCATGCAGCCTGAAAAACCTACAACAACCCGATGTAGTTTTGAACTGACATTACAATAAGCACACTGTGAAGCCGACAACTGAAATCATGGGAAGCAATTAAAGCAGAGTGCAATTAAAGCGGTGCAGCGTGCTCTCAAGCGCCCTTTCTTTCCTCCCAAACCTCCAGTTCTCAAAAGCCGGTCGGAATACAAGAGCCTTCTCCTGCCTGACCCCAAAAGAGGCCTCAGAGAAGGGTTTCTCCTGCCTCCAGGCCAAGGCCGGGCCCATGGGGTCAGGGCCAGTGGGTCAGTCGGTCAGTGGGCCTGAGCAGCGGGGGCTTCCTGCCCTTGTAAGCTCAGCCGAGGCCGCGCTCCGCTTGCCTTACCATCATGACGATGCTCCCAAAGAACGAGGCTCTCAGCAGGACCTCCAGGTCTTTGGGCACCTGCAACGAGAGCACACACAGAGCGGTCTTCTCTCCAGGCTCAGAGCTCAAAGGTCTCTAGGAATCATACTAGAGATTGCATTTTTAGTGCAATCAGACACTAGAAATGAGGATACTTAAAATGCAATAGTTTAATTTGCAGAATACACGAAGGGGTGAGTGCCAGAAAGAGCAGAGTGCCACCTGCATGATGGGTTTTGTAGTGGACCCGAGTCAGGCACACAGACGAATCCTGCCTGCGCTCCTCCCTCCCACCTCAGCCCTTAAATGTCTCCTGTTTCTTCCAAAACAATTCTCCTGCGCCATTTCCCCCCTCGCATCTCTTCCAGGTCTTCCGGACCTCTTTCTTCCCCGCTTAGACACATCCTTCCCTGGCGCACCGGCAACACCCTCCCTTTCCACTTCCTTCCCTCTGCATTCCCTTCTCCCCTCTCTTTAACCCATTCCCATACCCTGGACCGTGCTCCTGTGGCCTCCTCCTGAGAAAAATGTATAATATCACAAAAGACGACCACCTCACCCGCCTCATAGGAAACCTGCTACAAAACAGGAGCTTCTTTGTTGAGTTCCAGGGCCAGAGAAGCCGATGGCGGAAACAGAAGAACGGCCTGCCTCAGGGGAGCGTGCTTGCTCCATCCATGTTCAACATCTACACAAATGACCAGCCACTGCCAGAAGGGACAGAGAGTTTCATCTATGCTGATGATCGTGCCATTACTGCTCAAGCAGGGAGCTTTGAGATGGTTGAACAGAAGCTCTCTGAAGCTCTAGGTGCTCTTACTGCCTATTACAGGGAAAACCAGCTGATCCCTAATCCATCTAAAACACAGACATGTGCTTTTCACCTTAAGAACAGACAAGCATCCCGAGCTCTGAGGATCATTACCTGGGAAGGAAGGAATCCCACGGGAGCATTGCAGCACACCCAAATACCTGGGAGTCACTCTGGACCATGCTCTTACCCACTGCCTGAACATCAAGCAAAAAGTGGGTGCTAGAAACAATATCATACGAAAGCTGACTGGCACAACCTGGGGATCACAACCAGACACAGTGAAGACATCTGCCCTTGCGCTATGCTACTCTTCTGCTGAGTACGCATGCCCAGTGTGGAACACATCTCACCACGCTAAAACAGTGGATGTGGCTCTTAATGAGACATGCCGCATTATCACGGGGTGTCTGCGCCCTACACCACTGGAGAAATTACACTGCTTAGCCGGTATTGCACCACCTGGACATCCACCGGGAAGGAGCAGCCAATAGTGAAAGGACCAAGGCAGAGACATCTCTGCCCTGAGTAGCCTTCGGGCTGAAATGGGCGGGATAGAAATAATGTAAATAAATAAATAAATCTCCAGCTCATCCTCTGTTTGGGTATCAGCCAGCACGTCAACGGCTTAAATCAAGACACAGTTTTCTTAGATCTACAGAGACACTCGCTGGAACACCCCAGCAAGCGAGAGTCCAAAAGTGGCAGGCTCAAACCCAGAACCTCAATCCATGGCTGACATCAAATGAGAGACTCCCCCCTGGGCACACGGAAGACGGGGTGACTTGGAAGGCGCTGAACAGACTGCGCTCTGGCACCACCAGATGCAGAGCCAACCTTCAAGAAATGGGGCCACAAAGTGGAGTCCACGACATGCGAGTGCGGAGAAGAGCAAACCACTGACCACCTGCTGCAATGCAACCTGAGCCCAGCCACATGATGCACAAGGGAGGACCTTCTTGCAGCAACACCAGAGGCACTCCAAGGGGCCAGATACTGGTCAAAGGACACTTAAATCAACTACCAAGTTTGCAAACTTTGTGTGTGTGTGTTTTTTTTTTAAAAAAAATACAATACAACTGTTTGGTTCACTCCTGACACGATAAATAAATAAATAACCCATTCCCAAACTCTCTTCTTACAAAATGCACACCTTTACCATCTTCGCTCCTTTCTTTTCCTGCCTCTGCCCCCCCCCCCCCCCCGGCGAGGCTCACCTCCGTAATCTCCATGTTGAGGACCCCGGCCTGGAAGTAGGCAAAGAGGGCCGAGTCGAAGAAGTACTCGGAGACGGCCAGGTACACCATGCGCTCCGTCTCCTTGAGCACGGGCTCCGGGGCCGCGTTGGGCAGCGAGGCGTTCTCACTCCGCAGGGGGAAGAACATGCCCTGAGGAAGGGGATTATTGGGGGGGGGGGAGGAGAGGGAAGGGCAGAGTTAGGGTCAGCCGGAAAAGCCCCCCGCCCCACCCCACTCCATTGACAGTGCTATGTGTTGAAGCTGCTTGTAATTTATAATGTAGATCTCAAAGTATGCATGTATGTTTCAAATGCAGTAGTTATGTGCCGAGTGTAATGTATTCCTGTGTGGAAAGAGTTAGCTGAACCATGGAGGGAACGGCATTCCTAGAGAGGTCATAAATCAAGTGTGTAGAACAAATACTAATACTAATAATAATAATAATAATAATAATAATAACAATAACAACACTTTATTTGTACCCCGCTACCATCTCCCCAAGGGACTCGGTGCGGCTTACATGAGGCCGAGCCCAATACAACAATACAAACAATTAAAATAAAAAACAAAAAACATTGACAATAAAATATACAACATTATTAATAAGACAACACACAATTAAAAACAATGGGAAGGCCAAATGTAAAACTGAAAATAATGGACGCAGCGTCCTACGTCATATGTCACTCTGGAATGCAGGAGGTGTGGACTAGTGCTGATAACAGTTGAAGTGTTCACGATGTTATGATCAGATGGTAAAGAAGCAAGTGTACGATGTGCTGAGTGTTAAGTAGCTCCTAATGTATATAGCTGTAAAATAAAGTAGTTTATAGCCTAGGTGGCTGTGGTTGATCTGTTCCTGCCTTGCTGTGCTGCCGATGTCACTGACACTATGTGCCCCAGGCCATGCAGAAAGTGGGGGCATGGCAGGCCCTGGGTGTGGAGTCCTGCGCTGATGGAGCTGGAGATGCCTAGCTTGGAGAAGAGGAGGTTCGGAGGGATGTGGGAGCCGTGGGTAAAAATCTGAAGGGGTGCCCCAAAGAAGAGGGAGCAGGCCTTGACCTCTGCTGCCCTGGAGCCTAGGACGTCATGGGCTTCAATGGCAGGAAAGGAGATTCCACGGAACATTAGCAAGAACTCTCTGGTTGTAAGGAGAGCTGTTCAGCAGTGGAACTCTCTGCCACAGAGTGTGGAGGAGGCTCCCTTTTTGGAAGCTGCTAAACAGAGGCTGGATGGCCATCTGTCAGGAATGCTCTGATGGTGCTTTTCCTGCATGGCAGAATGGAGCTGGACTGCATGGCCCTGGGGGTCTCCTTCAAATCTAGGATTCTATGATTTAATAGTAGTAGTAGCAGAAGTAACAACAACAACAACAACAACAAGAAGGCTGGAGAGGCATCTGTTGGGAGGGATTTAATTGTGCTTTTCCTGCATGAAGGCAGGAGGAGGCTGGACTGGATGACCTTGAGAGGCCCCTCTCAACTCTTCTATGATTCTATGTGTCCGACACATGGCCATTGCACATCCACACACAAACACATCTCAGAACCGTGTGCTGAATGCAGGCCTTTGGCCCCAGAGAACACTGCCCCACTGGACAGGCAAGGGGCAGCAGCAGGCCGCTGGCCATCGAGCGCGTCCCTGCTTCCCACCCAGCCCCCCCTCCTCTTTCCTGCCCCCCCACCCCCCCGCCAATGTCCCCATATTAACCTTAAAGGCCAGGTCCATGGTGCTTGCCGTGACCGCGGGGTCATGCAGCAGGGAGTAGTCGATCCCAATGTGGTCGTCCACGGGATTCCGCACTGCAAGGAGGAAGCCAGTGAGCTGAAGGCGGGAAGAGTGACCGATGCCCTGCTCCCGGTCACTCTTACCCCCTGTTAACCTTTCCCCCCTCCCCAAATGGAGACCCCCCCCCCGACCCCCAAGAAAGCGAACGAGCGTACCGGGCACCGTGTCCAGGACGGAGTTGAGCAGGACCAGGCCGGCATGGTTCAGGACCGGGCAGATCTGGAGTCAGAGGGAAGGAGAGCGTCAGGGGAGGGGGGCAGGCACACCCCTCTCCCCCCACTCCATCATCACCCTCACATCACAACCCATGGCAGGCAGACCCCCAGTTACAAACACCCAACTGGCAAACCAGTCCTAGTGAAGAATGGGAGAGGCCACAGGAATGGAGGGAAATGTTGGAGGGTGGACTGGATGGCCTTGGGGGGTCCCTTCCACCTCTAGGCTTCCCCGGAGCAGCCTGGCCCTCACCTGCTGGTTGAGGAGGAAGCGCATCCCCGTGGTGATGAAGGCGGACAGGAACTGGTACACTTTCCTAGAGAGAGAGAGAACGACAGAGAGATCGAGTGAGGGGGGAACACAAGAGGCCATCCATCCGTTCCCAATGGGGAAAGGCGAGGATCCTCCCCCACGAACACACACACACACACACACAATGCAAGGACAGACAGCCTCCCGTTGCAAGCCCCTGGGTCGTCATCTGGGAAGCTGAGTGGATTGCAAGCTGAAAGCAAGAGCTGCTTGAGGGCGGAATCTCCTGCCTCCAGGTAGGAAAGAATCTCCACCTGTCAGGAGAGCTTAGGTTGTGTGTCCCTCCCTGTGGCTGAATGGGGTGGACTAGATGGCCCTTGGGGACCCCTCCACCTGAGGAATCCTTTGAGGAAGGGAGGGTTGGTGGCTTTTAAGCAGAGGCTGGATAGTAATCTGCCAGGGAAGCTTTATGCTTTTCCTGCACCGCAGAATAAACAGGGTTGGATTGGATGTCCTTTGGAGTTCTCTTCCAACTATGATTCTATAACAAGGGCTGAATGGCCATCTGTCGAGAAGGGTTGCATGGTGCTCTTTTTGGCAGAAAAGGGTTGGAGTGAGTGATTTTTGAGAGTCTCCTCCAACTCTAGGATTCTACAACAGGCTTTGATTGTGCTTTTCCTACATGGCAGAGTAAAAGGGAATGGAGTAGATGGCCTTTAGAGGTCTCTTCCAACTCCAGGATTCTATTATTATTATTATTATTATTATTATTATTATTATTATTATTATTATGCAGAGGGATGGCCATCTGTTTGGGGGGGGGGGAGCTTTGATTGTGCTTTTCCTACATGGCAGAGTAAAAGGGAATGGAGTAGATGGCCTTTAGAGGTCTCTTCCAACTCCAGGATTCTATTATTATTATTATTATTATTATTATTATTATTATACAGAGGGATGGCCATCTGTTTGTGGGGGGGGGGGGGCTTTGATTGTGCTTTTCCTGCCTGGCAGAAGACAGGGGGTTGGGCTAGATGCCCTTCAGAGGGCCCCATTCAAGCCTAGGGTGGTTCCAGGGAGGCCCACCTGAGGGTCCCGGTGAAGCCGGCGTTCATGCGTGCGATGGAGGCGCTGCAGCTGCTGTTGGAGATCTTGAGGCGCCCGCTGCTGTCCTTGGAGAGCTCCAGCGCCGTGTGGATGTGGACGCCCTCGGCCGAGGCGTTGATGGAGCCAATGTCATAGCTGAGAACGAGGGTCAATGCAGGCAGATGGTTATCACAAGCACACTCAAGCCCTGCCTGCGTCATCAGAACTCCCCTCCACATGCATTGTGGTTGTGGCCACCTGCGTTGGGCACCTCTGCACTGACCACTTAAGCCGGTTTCAAACCAGTACTGAAGGAAGTGCTTTTGCTGTGAGGGTGATCCCATGGGAAACCCCGGAACCAGTTTGAGGCCTGGGTGGTGAATGTATTTATTTTATTATTATTTAGTACATTTCTAGATCTATGAGCCAGGGCAAATTGGATGTTGTTATTGGCGAGATGTCAAGACTAAAGATAGACATTCTGGGGGTCAGCGAACTGAAATGGACTGGAATGGGCCACTTCACATCAGATGACCACCAGATCTACTACTGCGGACAAGAGGAACATCGAAGAAATGGAGTAGCCTTCATAATTAATAAGAATTTCGCTAAAGCGGTGCTTGGATACAACCCAAAAAATGACAGAATGATCTCAATTCGAGTGCAAGGAAAGCCTTTCAACATTACAGTGATCCAAATATATGCCCCAACCACAGCTGCTGAAGAAGCAGAAGTAGATCAGTTCTATGAGGATCTGCAGGACCTACTGGATAATACACCAAAAGAGACATTATTTTCATTACAGGAGACTGGAATGCCAAGGTGGGAAGTCAAATGACAACAGCGATCAAGGGCAAGCATGGTCTGGGAGAACAAAATGAAGCGGGACGCAGGCTGATAGAATTTTGCCAGGAAAACTCGCTGTGTATAACGAATACTCTCTTCCAACAACCTAAAAGACTGCTTTACACATGGACCTCACCAGACGGTCAACACCGAAATCAGATTGACTACATCCTTTGCAGCCAAAGGTGGCGGACATCCATCCAGTCGGTGAAAACAAGACCTGGGGCTGACTGTAGCTCAGATCACGAACTTCTTATTGCCCAATTTAGAATCAAACTAAAGAGATCAGGGAAAATACACAGACCAGTTAGATATGATCTCACTAACATTCCTAGCGAATATACAGTGGAAGTGAAGAACAGATTTGAAGGACTAGATTTAGTAAACAGAGTCCCAGAAGAACTATGGACAGAAGTCCGACATTGTTCAGGAGGCGGCAACAAAGTACGTCCCAAAGAAAAAGAAAACCAAGAAGGCAAAATGGTTGTCTGCTGAAACACTGGAAGTAGCCCAAGAAAGGAGGAAAGCAAAAGGAAACAGGATAAGGGGAGATATGCCCAGTTAAATGCGCAATTCCAGAGGTTAGCCAGAAGAGATGAGGAACTATTTTTAAATAAGCAATGCATGGAAGTGGAAGAAGACAACAGAATAGGAAGGACAAGAGACCTCTTCCAGAAAATTAGAAACATTGGAGGTAAATTTCAGGCAAAAATTGGTATGATAAGAAACAAAGATGGAAGGGACCTAACAGAAGCTGAAGAGATCAAGAGAAGGTGGCGAGACTATACAGAAGATCTGTATAGGAAGGATAATAATATTGAGGATAGTTTTGACAGTGTGGTGAATGAATTAGAACCAGACATCCTGAGGAGTGAGGTTTAATGGGCCTTAAGAAGCATTGCTAACAACAAGGCAGCAGGAGACACCGGGATCCCACCTGAACTGTTCAAAATCTTGAAAAATAATGCTGTCAAGGTGATGCATGCCACGTGCCAGCAAATATGGAAAACACAAGAATGGCCATCAGACTGGAAAAAATCAACTTATATCCCCATACCAAAAAAGGGAAATGCTAAAGACTGCTCAAACTTCCGTACAGTGGCCCTTATTTCTCATGCCAGTAAGGTAATGCTCAAGATCCTGCAAGGAAGACTCCAGCAATACATTGAGAGAGAGTTGCCAGATGTTCAAGCTGGGTTTAGAAAAGGCAGAGGAACGAAAGACCAGATTGCATATCCGCTGGATAATGGAGAAAGGCAGGGAGTTTCAGAAAAACATCTATTTCTGCTTCATTGACTATTCTAAAGCCTTTGACTGTGTGGATCATAATAAATTGTGGCAAGTTCTTGAGTGGGATGGGCATCCCAAGCCACCTTGTCTCTCTCCTGAGGAATCTGTACAAGGACCAAGTAGCAACAGTCAGAACTGACCACTGAACAACAGACTGGTTCAAGATTGGGAAAGGCGTACGGCAAGGCTGCATCCTCTCACCCAACCTTTTTAACTTGTATGCAGAACACATCATGCAGGATGTGCGGGGCTGGATGAATGCAAAGCTGGGGTGAAAATTGCTGGAAGAAACATTAACAACCTCAGATATGCAGATGACACCACTCTGATGGCCGAAAGCGAGGAGGAGCTGAGGAGCCTTCTAATCAAGGTGAAAGAAGAAAGCGCAAAAGCTGGGTTGCAGTTAAACATCAAAAAAACCAAGATTATGGCAACAAGAATGATTGACAACTGGGAAATAGAGGGAGAAAACGTGGAGGCCGTGACAGACTTTGTATTTCTAGGTGCAAAGATGACTGCAGATGCAGACTGTGGCCAGGAAATCAGAAGACGCTTCCTTCTTGGGAAGAGAGCAATGTCCAGTCTCGATAAAATAGTCAAGAGTAGAGACATCAGACTGGCAACAAAGATCCATTGCCTAGTCCAAGCCATGGTATTCCCTGTAGTCACCTACGGATGTGAGAGCTGGACCTTAGGGAAGGCTGAGCGAAGGAAGAGAGACGCTTTTGAACTGTGGTGTTGGAGGAAAGTGCTGAGAGTGCCTTGGACTGCGAGAAGATCCAACCAGTCCATCCTCCAGGAAATAAAGCCCGACTGCTCATTGGAGGGAAGGAGACTAGAGACAAAGATGAAGTACTTTGGCCACATCATGAGAAGACAGGAAAGCTTGGAGAAGACAATGATGCTGGAGAAAATGGAAGGAAAAAGGAAGAGGGGCCGACCAGGCAAGATGGATGGATGGCATCCTTGAAGTGACTGGACTGACCTTGAAGGAACTGGGGGTGGGGACGGCCGACAGGGAGCTCTGGCGTGGGCTGGTCCATGAGGTCACGAAGAGTCGGAGACGACTGAACGAATGAACAACAACAACATTTCTAGACCGCCCCTCTCTCTCAGCCTTCCGGCCACTCGAGGCGGCGTACAAGGCAAGGATGGAATGCCACCAAAGACACAATTGCAACATACAGTATAAATAAAAATGTAATGTTTATTTTTGGGATTAACATAACTCAAAAACCACAGGGGGAATTGACTCCAAATTTGGACACAAGACACCTCTCAGGCCAATGTATGTCCTTCACTCAAAAAAACACTGAAAAACACAGCAGAAGGGACTTAAAAAGCCCCAAAAAGCTAAATGACGAAAAGCTAAACGACAATACAGAAAAAAGGAAAAAGGAAAGGAAAGGAAAGGAAAGGAAAGGAAAGGAAAGAAAGAGGGAAAGAAAAGAAAAGAAGGAGGGAAAGAAAGAAGGAAAGGAGAAGGACGCATGGAAGCAAAGAGAGAAGGAAGGAAGGAAAGAGGTAGAGGAGAAAGAAAGGAGAGAAAGAGAGAGGGAAAGAAAAAGGGGGAAGGAAAGAAAGTTAGAGAAGGAAGGAGAGAAGGAAAGAAAAAAGGGAAAGAAGGAAGGAAAGAGGGAGCGAAGGAAGGGGAAGATGTAATATTGTGTATTGTGTATGTGTTTTTATGCTTTTTAATGGAATATTGCTGCTTGTCGTTGTGTTGTAAACCGCGTTGAGTCGCCGATTTAGGCTGAGAAACGGCGGTATATAAGCACAGTAATAAAAATAATAAAGAAAGAGGGAGGGAAGGAAAGAGAGAAGGAAGAAAAGAGAGACAGCAGAATAGAAAGAAAAAGGGGGAAGGAAGGAAGAAGTGAGAGAAAGAGGGAGGGAAAGAAAAAGGGGAAAGAAGGAAGGAGAGAAGGCAAGAATTCAATGCTGCCAAGGACACAATTACAATATACAATATAAAAAACATCAGCAACAATAAAATCAAACATTATAATGACACATACTTCAATCGATAATCCTTAAAACAATATCCAGTTCCACCATATAGTTATTCCATTATTATATCAATTACTCCATATTTTCAAATGCCCGCTCAAATAGCCATGTCTTAAGATTCTTCCGGAATGATAGGAGCAAGGAGCCGATCTAATCTCCCCAGGAAGGGCGTTCCATAGCTATGGGGCCACCGCTGAGAAGGCCCTGCCTCTCGTTCCCGCCAACCGTACTTGCAGTGATGGCGGGTCCAAGAGCAGAGCCTCTCCAGGTGATCTCAAAGTCCTCGCAGGTTCATAAGGGGAGATTCGTTCGGACAGGTAAGTTGGGCCAGAACCGTTTAGGGCAGTGGTTTCTCAACCTTCCGAATGCCGCGACCCCTTAATACAGTTCCTCATGTTGTGGTGACCCCCAACCATAAAATTATTTTCGTTGCTACTTCATAACTGGAATTTTGCTCCTGTTATGAATCATAATGTAAATATCTGATATGCAGGATGTATTTTCATTCACTGAAATTTGGCACAAATACCATACACCCAAATTTGAATACTGGTGGGGGGGGGGTTTGATTTTGTCATTTGGGAGTTGTAGTTGCTGGGATTTATAGTTCACCTACAATCAAAGAGCATTCTGAACTCCACCAATGATGGAATTGAACCAAACTTGGCACACAGAACTCCCCTGACCGACAGAAAATACTGGAAGGGTTTGGTGGGCATTGACCTTGAGTTTTGGAGTTGTAGTTCACCTACATCCAGAGATCACTGTGGATTCAAACAATGGTGGATCTGGACCAAACTTGGATGAATACTCAATATGCCCAAACACTGGTGGAGTTTGGGGAAAATAGACCTTGACATTTGGGAGTTGTAGTTGGAATTTATAGTTCACCTACAATCTAAGAGTATTCTGAACTCCACCAACGATAGAATTGGGCCAAACTTGGCACACAGAACCACCATACTAACAGAAAATACTGTGTTTTCTGGTGGTCTCTGGTGACCCCTCTGACGCCTCCTTGTGACCCCCCAGCGGTCCCGACCCCCAGGTTGAGAATCGCTGGTTTAGGGCTTTATAGGCTAAAGCCAGCACTTTGAATTGTGCCCAGTAGCAAACTGGCAGCCAGTGGAGCTGGCACAACATGGGAGTTGTATGCTCCCTGAGAGCCGCTCCAGTTAGCAATCTGGCTGCTGTCCGTTGGACCAGTTGAAGCTTCCAGACAGTCTTCAAAGGCAACCCCACATAGAGAGCGTTGCAGTAGTCTATACGGGATGTAACCAGAGCGTGCACACGCCATTGAGCATGGACGAGGCACATCAGGAGAGAATGCCTCCAGCCCGAAAAATCCTTCAACAATCCACTTCAATTGGCTTGGTTCAATGCTATGGAGTCATGTGAGTTGTAGTAGATCTTGAGCCTTCCCTGCCAAAGGATGCTGATGCCTCACCAAACTACGAATCCCAGCCTTGCAGAGCACTAAGCACCATTGCATTAGAGAAGATGTCCTTCAAAGAGGAGCTCCTAAAGCAGCTTCCTTCCCCTTTGGCTCCGGCTCCGCAAGAAGGTGACTCTAGGACGTGAATCTAAGGTGTACTCCAATTTTGGGGAGGTGCTTTAGCCCCCAAAGGTGTGCATGCATGGAATAGGGCGGTTCGAGAGAGGTTGGCCCTCCGCACCCACTCACAAGAACCAGTAGAGGATCTGCCGGCGGAAGCGGAGGGCGATGGAGGCGTTGCGGATGTCGAAGGCCAGGTGCTGCTTGGTCTGGAAGCGCAGGTCCGAGAAGGGCAGGTCCAGGTGGGTCACCCTCACGCTGGGCAAAGGGGGGGGGGAGAGAGAGAGAGAGAGAGAGAGAGAAGGGCACCATCAGGGACTGGGAGAGGGGTACTGGGAGGACAGGGCCAGGCGCATCACGGCAGCACAGCAGTGATGTTGACCATGGCGTTCAAAGAAGGGCTTTCCAAACCAGGTGCCACCTGCAGCCCCCCAGGTGTTTTGGACTTCAACTCCCACCATTCCTCACAGCTTCAGGCCCCGCTTAAGCGGCTGAGGGGCAAAAGGAAAGGGTCTGAGGCTGTGAGGAATGGTGGGAGTTGAAGTCCAAAACACCTGGAGGGCCCAAGTTTGCCCATACCTGCTATACATCCTCACTTCTGCTTTAATGACACTCGTCTCATTCATAAATCCAGCAGGTAAAATGTGCCCTCGTCCTTGTTGCAAAAAGCTGACAAATGAGCAGGACAGGTGCCACTTGCAAACAAACAAACCCCAGGACAAGCCCCTCCCTCCTTCCTTCCCTTTCTCCCCCCCCCCCCCCCGTCCTTTCTTCCCTCCCACTTTCCATCCTTCCTTCCATCCTTCCCCCCTTCCCTCCCTCCTTCCCACTCCTTCCTCCTCCTCCCTCCTTCCTTCCTCCCTCCCTCCTTCTTCCTCCTTCCTTCCTTCCTCCCTCCTCCTCCATCCATCCTCCCCTCTCCTCCCTCTTCCCAAGACAAGCCCCTCCCTCCCACCATCCCTTCCTCCTCTTTCCCTCCCTTCTTCCTTCTTTCCCTCCCTCCATCCCTCCCATCCATCCATCCTTCCTTCCCTCCCTCCCTCCCTTCTCTCCTTCCTTCTTTTTCCTTCCTTTCTCTTCTTTCCTCCCTCCCTCCCTCCTAGTCTCCTTCCTTCTCTTTCATTCCTTCCTTCCTTCTCCTCCCTCCCTCCATCCCTCCCATCCATCCATCCATCCTTCCATCCTTCCCTCCCTCCCTCCCTCCCTTCTCTCCTTCCTTCTTTTTCCTTCCTTTCTCTTCTTTCCTCCCTCCCTCCCTCCTAGTCTCCTTCCTTCTCTTTCATTCCTTCCTTCCTTCTCCTCCCTCCCTCCATCCCTCCCATCCATCCATCCTTCCTTCCCTCCCTCCCTCCCTTCTCTCCTTCCTTCTTTTTCCTTCCTTTCTCTTCTTTCCTCCCTCCCTCCCTCCTAGTCTCCTTCCTTCTCTTTCATTCCTTCCTTCCTTCTCCTCCCTCCCTCCATCCCTCCCATCCATCCATCCTTCCTTCCCTCCCTCCCTCCCTTCTCTCCTTCCTTCTTTTTCCTTCCTTTCTCTTCTTTCCTCCCTCCCTCCCTCCCTCCTAGTCTCCTTCCTTCTCTTTCATTCCTTCCTTCCTTCTCCTCCCTCCCTCCATCCCTCCCATCCATCCATCCTTCCTTCCCTCCCTCCCTCCCTTCTCTCCTTCCTTCTTTTTCCTTCCTTTCTCTTCTTTCCTCCCTCCCTCCCTCCTAGTCTCCTTCCTTCTCTTTCATTCCTTCCTTCCTTCTCCTCCCTCCCTCCATCCCTCCCATCCATCCATCCTTCCTTCCCTCCCTCCCTCCCTTCTCTCCTTCCTTCTTTTTCCTTCCTTTCTCTTCTTTCCTCCCTCCCTCCCTCCTAGTCTCCTTCCTTCTCTTTCATTCCTTCCTTCCTTCTCCTCCCTCCCTCCATCCCTCCCATCCATCCATCCATCCTTCCATCCTTCCCTCCCTCCCTCCCTCCCTTCTCTCCTTCCTTCTTTTTCCTTCCTTTCTCTTCTTTCCTCCCTCCCTCCCTCCTAGTCTCCTTCCTTCTCTTTCATTCCTTCCTTCCTTCTCCTCCCTCCCTCCATCCCTCCCATCCATCCATCCTTCCTTCCCTCCCTCCCTCCCTTCTCTCCTTCCTTCTTTTTCCTTCCTTTCTCTTCTTTCCTCCCTCCCTCCCTCCTAGTCTCCTTCCTTCTCTTTCATTCCTTCCTTCCTTCTCCTCCCTCCCTCCATCCCTCCCATCCATCCATCCTTCCTCCCTCCCTCCCTCCCTTCTCTCCTTCCTTCTTTTTCCTTCCTTTCTCTTCTTTCCTCCCTCCCTCCCTCCCTCCTAGTCTCCTTCCTTCTCTTTCATTCCTTCCTTCCTTCTCCTCCCTCCCTCCATCCCTCCCATCCATCCATCCATCCTTCCCTCCTTCCCTCCCTTCTCTCCTTCCTTCTTTTTCCTGCCTTTCTCTTCTTTCCTCCCTCCCTCCCTCCTAGTCTCCTTCCTTCTCTTTCATTCCTTCCTTCCTTCTCCTCCCTCCCTCCATCCCTCCCATCCATCCATCCATCCTTCCATCCTTCCCTCCCTCCCTCCCTCCCTTCTCTCCTTCCTTCTTTTTCCTGCCTTTCTCTTCTTTCCTCCCTCCCTCCCTCCTAGTCTCCTTCCTTCTCTTTCATTCCTTCCTTCCTTCTCCTCCCTCCCTCCCTCCCTCCTAGTCTCCTTCCTTCTCTTTCATTCCTTCCTTCCTTCTCCTCCCTCCCTCCCTCCCTCCCTCCCATCCATCCATCCTTCCTTCCCTCCCTCCCTCCCAAGTTGGCCTCCCTTTGGCCCCTTTTGCAGGTGCAGAATTGATCTCCAGGTGAGCCCTGTCCCCAAGAAAACCCTGGCAGAGAATGCGGCCCAGAGATATCTATGTGCCAGGTCCGCTCAGTGTTGCCGTTCGGACACCCCTTCCGTATACGTGCACACACCCGCATGCCCCCTGAGGCACCCAACTCACTTGCTGATGTTGTAGTGGAACTGGCCTTCTTTGCCGTGAAGGTCCGGGATGGTGATGTTCTCCAGCTCTTGCTCCACAAAGCGCAGGCCCTCCTGCTTCACTGCAAAAGGACAGGGATTGGCCGGGGGGAGAAGGGGGTCAACAAGACCTAGGGCTCCCAGGGCAGTCCACCCAACCCACAATCAAAGCTCTCCCAGCAGGTGGTGGAGGCTCCATCTTTGGAGGCTTTGAAACAGAGGCTGAATGGCCATCTGCCAGGGATGCTTTGAAGGTGATCTTCCTGCTTCTTGGCAGAAAAGGGCTGGACTGGATGATGGCCCACCACATCTCTTCCAACTCTAGGATTCTAGGTGGACATCCAGCCTCTGCTTAAAGAAAGCGCCAGAGAAGAAAGGAAGGAAGGAAGGAAGGAAGGAAGGAAGGAAGGAAGGAAGGAAGGAAGGAAGGAAGGAGACTCCACCTGAACAAAGGTTATATGTATTGTCGAAGGCTTTCATGGTCGGAATCACTGGGTTGTTATAGGTTTTTTCGGGCTATATGGCCATGTTCTAGAGGCATTCTCTCCTGACATTTCACCTGCATCTATGGCAAGCATCCTCAGAGGTAGTGAGGTCTGTTGGAACTAGGAAAAGGTTTATATATCTGTGGAATGACCAGGGTGGGACAAAGGACTCTTGTCTGCTGGAGCTAGGTGTGAATGTTTCAACTGACCACCTTGATTAGCATATAATGGCCTGACAGTGCCTGGAGCAAACTTTTGTTGAGAGGTGATTAGATGTCCTTGTTTGTTTCCGCTCTGTTGTTGTGCTGTTGTAATTTTAGAGTTTTTTAATACTGGTATCCAGATTGTGTTCATTTTCATGGTTTCCTCCTTTCTGTTGAAATTGTCCACATGCTTCTTGTGGATTTCAATGGCTTCTCTGTGTAGTCTGACATGGTGGTTGTTAGAGTTGTCCAGCATTTCTGTTCTCAAATAGTGTCCAGGTTGGTTCATCAGGTGCTCTGCTATGGCTGACTTCTCTGGTTGAAGTAGTCTGCAGTGCCTTTCATGTTCCTTGATTCGTGTCTGGGCAATGCTGCGTTTGGTGGTCCCTCTGTAGACTTCTTGTCCACAGCTGCATGGTATACAATGGTAGACTCCTGCCGAGGTGAGAGGATCCCTCTTGTCCTTTGCTGAACGGAGCATTGGTTGGATTTTCTTGGTGGGTCTGGAGATTGTTTGGATGTTGTGTTTCCTCATCAGCTTCCCTCTGCGGTCAGTGGTTCCCTTGATGTATGGCAACAATAGTCAGTTGAAACATTCACCCCTAGCTCCAGCGGACGAGAGTCCTTTGTCCCACCGTGGTCATTCCACAGATATAGAAACCCTTTTTCCTAGTTCCAACAGACCTCACTACCTCCGAGGATGCTTGCCATAGATGCAGGCGAAACGTCAGGAGAGAATGCCTCTAGACCATGGCCATATAGCCTGAAAAAACCTACAAGAACCCAAAGGCAGAATATTCCGCTGTTCCCGTCAGGAAAGTCTTCCTTCTGCTCAGGTTGAATCCCTTTCCCTAGAGTGTAAGGCTGTTTTAATGTTTGTATACTTGTAGATGTCAACTGTCTTGAAATGCTTTTAAAGTAAGCGGCTTTGAGTCTCATGTGGAGAGAAAAGGCAGGGCATAAAGAAACAACAACAACAACAACAAATATCTCTTTGAGTCTCTCTTTGAGCCACTTTGGGTCTCCTTGTTGGAGAGAAAAGTGGGGTATAAATAAACATAATAAACATAATAATAACAGCAACAACAATAACAATAACAATATCAATAGAGCTTGTCTCCATTGCTCCCTGTGTCCCGCTCTCTGGAGCATCAGAAGACAGGCCCCCGGCTTCTTTCCCTTCCTCCTCAATGGGACCTCCTTCCAAAGAATGTTTCAACTGACCACCTTGACCCCATCCATCAAGGGAACCACTGACCCAGCTCCCTTTCCCTCGGCTTCCTTTGATCCAAGGCAAACGCCCCTTGCAGCCCCCTCACCTGCTCCTCCTCAGGGGGAGTCATAGTTTCCAGACCATGCACCATTTGGTCCGCCCTCCTTGGGACATCTCCCACCTATTCTGTACCTTGCATTTTGCTCCTGCCAAGAACTGGACACCAGGCCAACTCAGGAGTGCTCTGACCAAGGCAGGAGAGAGCAGGACTCCCCGTGCATTGGGCGCACTCCTCCTGTGGATGCAGCCTAGGAGGGCATTGAGTGCTCTTTGAGAGGACTCCGGTCCAGCTGGTGGTCTCCGAAGGCTCTCAGGTCCCTCCCAATTGAGTGTTTCCACCTCCAGGCTTGAGACGGTCAGCCTGGCACCCCTCCTCCGGTGCCCCTCCCCTCTGGTATCCCAAGGCCACGTCCAGCCACTGGACCAAGGGAAGGGGACCCAATGGGGGGAGGGGGAACCCCACCTTTGCTGGCATTTAATTTCCTTGTAGGGTGTACAAGGAAATTAAATAGCAAGCATGGGCCAACTTGGATGTTTTGGACTTCAGTTCCCACAATTCATAACATGGCCAGGCACCTCAGAAAATTTACAGCAACCCAGCTGTTAATTTTCTGAGGTGCCTGGCCATGTTCCAGAAGCATTCTCTCCTGACATTTCACATGCATCTATGGCAGGCATCCTCAGAGCTCACAACTTTTGAGGAGTCCTGCTATAGACGCAGGGGAAGCGTCAGGAGAGAATGCTTCTGGAGCACAGCCAGGAAGCCCGGAAAACTCACAATAATAATAATAATAATAATAATAATAATAATAATAACTTTATTTATATACAACCTAGTGATTCCAACCATGAAAGTCTTTGACAGCCCACCAGCTGTTAGGAATGGTCGGAGTTGCAGTCCAAAACAAATACAATGTGAGATAATGCAATCCAGGCCACTCACCCAGCTCCAGGCCCTTGGCGGTGATCCGGATCTTGCATCCCGGCGTCTCTGCCGTGTTTGCCCGGCTCAGGAAGATGGGCAGCAGGAGGAGGAGGAAGAGGCAGGGTCTGCTCAGCGGAGGCATGGCGGAGATGGACCTGCAAAAGGGGGGCAGGAGGGGCTCAGGGCCGGCAGAGACCCTCCAGACCAACCCCCTTCATTCTGCCTTACACCATCTGATCTGTCCCAAGAGATGGCCAGCAGCCTCTGCTTCAAAGCCTCCAGAAAAGGAGACTTCATTCCTCCAGGCTCCAGTTTCCAGAATCCGAATGGCCCCCCAAAAGCCATCCAGTTCAACCTCCTTCTTTCTACCACAGTCCAAGTACTCCCAGCAGATGACCATCCAGCCCCTGTTTTAAAGTCTCCAAGCAGTTCTTAAAGTTATTATAAAGTATTCTGGACGCCCCGAGGAAAGAGGGCTTGAATTCTGAATGAAAGGCCTAACTATTGTATTGTTGAAGGCTCTCACGGCCGCAATCGCTGGACTGTTGTTTCTGATATTCCAACACGATCACTTTTCTGGAGACCTACACACTACATTGCACAAAAGGGGCCCTGTCATTCCCGAAAGTAAACAGGTCTTGGTAGTAGGCGACTCCCTCCTTAGAGGAACGGAAGCTGTCATTTCCAGACCAGATGGGATGGCTCAAGAAATATGCTGCCTACCGGGGGCAAAAATACACCATATCACTCAGAGGCTCACCAGGCTCCTCAAGCCCTGTC